GGAGAAGGGTTCTATTCTTTGTTAACACTTTGAATTGATGCTATTATGGAGTGTTACCAGTAAAAAACCATAACTTATTTGATCCTGGTATTAAGTTATAAGGGTAAAAATTAGATTACATGTAGTTTTTTTTTCACGACGAGTTTTACGGAATGTCGAATTTCCGAACGTCACTTAGGCCTACTAGAAAGTAGCCATCGAATAACCAATATTATTGAAAATTAAAATTTAACTACAAATGGAAATAGTCACTAACGGTACGTAGTTAATATGTATACGAATTTGCATGTACACGTAATTTTACGAAAATTCCGCTATTTTGACTAGCTTCGCAGTTATGCGGTAAAACTCATCATTTTCGTTAACTCATCACCTTCTGGTTTTACATTAAGTCCAGTTTGTGGGACTCTACTGTACCAAAACATAATACCACATATAATTAATGACCCATATAAAAAAATGTATTCCTGCCAAAATTCAAAATGTTTGGTTCTCCAGATTTAAAATAAAACACAGACGAATGCACACGCAATAAACATACATAAACACAAAATTTTGTTCCCGTTTTTTGTTTTTTTTCTTAAAAAATCCGGGAACCTTAAAATGTCCAGAAATGAAAAACACTCGAAGGGTCAAAATCTAACTGCCTTTAACTTCCCGCATTTTATAACAGCCGGAAAAGTAACAGATTGCCGGAAGTCAACGCAATACAATTGTGCACGACAGCCATTTTAATACTAACGAGGTTGCTAATGTGTTCAAAGAGATCGCAAACTTCGCTTTTAATTTAAACAATCTACAAAAGGCTTTATTGCAGGATTAACCCGGCTAAACCGGTTTTGTAGTCCGACAACATCCATGGTTCGGGAGGCGGAAATTTTTCAACAACGATGCATCCGATCGTCCGAAAGTTCCCTCGAATAGACGTAGTTTACGACACGAGAGAGCAAGCGTGTTGCCAGTTCGTTAATCATTCCATGGAGTCGAAATATTAATATATTGAGAATTTATACTTTTCTGCGTATCTAGAAGTCGTAAAATATAATTCGAGTCGTCGCGTGTCGAGTTTGATCGATGGGGAGGGAGTGTGCGAATTTAGTGACAGTTTGCTTTTAAATAACTTATAATACCGTGCATAAATATGAATATAAATAAAACGATTTAAAGGTAACTTCTACTCTCCGTTGTTTCCTTCGAATAAAACTTGTTTTATCGGCTTCTTGCTGGCCACTTAGTTGTCGAGTGTGAATAATGAATACTGGCATTGTCCTGTTGAAAAATCCAATCGGATCCTCCAATTTCTTACTATAATAGATATTAAATTACTTTTTAAGGATATCTTGATAACTTTTAGATGTCTATCTACCAGTTAAAATCATTAAATTTGATGAACCATTAAATCCAAAGCAGCTCCACATTGTAACAGAACCACCATCCTTTCGACTGCTGAAAACTGTTCTGTACTCTTTTTTCCTAATTTCTGCCGGTAACTGGGCTATCCCAATTATATTTCTTTTCATAACTGAAAATAATTGAAAGCCTTTGGTCATTTCACAGCGTGTGATCTTTAGATCACTGCATTCTTTCAATTTGTGTTGTTTTGTTAGTGGTGGTTTTTCATCACGGCAGAAATTTTATATGTAGAATTGTTGAAATTCTTCGATGAACAGGTCTTTTTGATACTTTTAATTCGCTTTCAAACAAAATTTCACAAACCGATTTATCTTGTTGTGATGCAAACCCACAATTCGATTATCATCCCTTTGAGATGAGATTTTGGATCATCTCGATCGATGTTTAGAAGGTTTTGGTGATGGTTTTTCCAAAATTTTATAAATTTAAAATAGATCTGTTCATTAAAACTGCAATTTCCTTGACACGATTTCCTTTTTATTTCCACATTCATGCTCTCTTCCATGTGGCATTTTGGAAAGCTTTGATTCAATATTCAAATTATTACTTGACGTTATTTATTATTATTTTCGTAATTGTAAGTTTCTTATGTTTAAAATTTTAGAATTCTGTTTTATTATCGATACTTTTGGGACAGCCAAAAATATATTTTTGTTGTGAAATTATTAATTTTAAAATTATCAAAAATCAGTGTAAAGTAATTTGTATATACAAATGAAATCGTTTACATTTCACTTAAATTCCTAACAATTCTGAAAAGTTGATTATCAATACTTTTGGGACGCACTGTATTAAGTATGAATTTTAGAAAAGTTGATTGTGACCTCAAACGAAAACATTAACATAAAAATAACATCTGCGAAGGTGTATTTTGTTATCGAATCCTTCTTTTTGTATTTTTATTATGTTTTTACTATACGAAAAGTAGCCAATGTGTATTTTCTGCGATTTTTAAATATTTACACCGGAAGAAGTCGGCAGGTTTTAAAAATATCTAAAATTTATTAAGTCTACTTCCCGGTTAGAAAAATATTAGATTCCGCATCAAATAATTCGTTATATAAAATATGACGTTAGTTTTTAATAATTTTACCTTTCCATTAATTATCCCGTAAAGTGCATTATTCCAATTAACCTAGAATCTTATCGGATAATCTACTTTCTGACTTTGATAATCGATAAGAAACAAACGGACTGATGATTAATGCGCGGCTGGCAGCTAATTTTTGTTTTAACCTTCCACCGAACTCTGCAACTAGTGACTACCTTAGTGGTAAAAATATTCTGAATTTCTGTTCAACAGTTTATTAAACCTCTATTCTTCCGCCGCAGTATTTTTCTTTGTCAGAATTTCTGTAAATCGCTTATACTTTCTTAATTTACCATCGATGAGGGTGATGTGACGACGGGGAATTAACTCTTATTTTCGTTTAATATTTTGCAGAAAAAATTATACTTCGTTGCGTTTCGTTTAATATTAAGTAAAGATTAATTTGTTGATAAAATAAAATAATTATCCCATATATTATCGAAAACTCTGCAGAACTAATTAAACTTTAAAAGTCGTTCTGTTTTTTTATTCTGAGTAAAAGTATAACGCAACGCCGCAAGAACCTAGTTTCTTCCAAAGAATGTACAATTTTTCTTTTAAATTTAGTTAAAAATACATTTAAAAAATGATATCAAAGAACCTTGTTTACGTAACTTTTACCTTTATTGACCTCTCTAACGTTTCTCAAATTTCTTTTATAGCTTAACTATTTAATATCTAGGAGTATATGAGCTTTTAATAGACGGTTGCACAATTTCATCTACAGAATCGGCCGAAAGCGTAGCACATGTGTAAACTGTCGGATAAATTAACTGGGCTAATTTAGTTATAACAATTTACTTTGTAGCCGAACGAAGAAACTGGAAGGCCGACATCGGTTTCGATTTAGAGGCGGATGTATTCAAATCTTATAGATAACGTTTGCTGAATCAGCTAATATGTATTTTCGTCTATATTCCATTTCGTCCCACTTTATTTTGTTTATACTTGGTCCTAGTAACAGAACTGCAGAGTAAAAATATTTCAGCTGGCCGTTAGCTATTTGCTTTGTTAAAATAACTCGTGCAATAGATTAACTTATTCTTTAGATTTCTAACCGAGTACTTCTTTCTCCACAGATATTTGTTGTCTAGTTTAAACCGTAATTGGCAAAATCACTTTTAAGAATTACAATGGATTTTAATTAGTTATACAGTAAATCCTCGTTAGTTCGAAATTGATCGACGAAACAATCGCCACTTCGAATAATCGAGTTTCGATTATCCGAAATTTACATATTTCTGTACAATATGCCAAATACCACGTAACTGATGTAATTTATTAAGCAAACGAATACGTCTACGTATACAGAAAGTTATTTTCGTTAATTAATAATTATATAAATGAACAGCAGGTATACAGCGCGTGTCCGCTTAGAACCTCACAGGTTTCCAGATAGTTTTATAAAAAGTAAAGCAAAATTCCTGGAAATGTAGCCCAAATTATTTTTAAAGTAGCTCAAAGAGTACTAGATAAGAGAAAACAGGGTATTTTACGGGTAAGTTGACATTCGAAAATGTGTTACGTAAAAGCTAAGCCATGTCGACTAGATTAAAATTGTTCTCGGTCTATTGTTCTCTTACCGTATGGAGGCACTTCGACCTAAACGAACCAGTTAACATATTCGCATCAATTCGGACACAATTTTCACTTCGAATTTCGAACTAACTGAATTCCTTAACGTGTAAATCTCTGTATCTTCGGTTACGAACTAACGGAATTTCGAACTATGCCAGTTCGAATTAACCAGGATTTCCTGTATTACGTTTGGCTTAACCGCGAGAAGATTATAGACAGTACTGTGGAAATAAAATGCTATATTGGCAAATACTCTACACAACATGTATAAATCATGTCTGAAATATATACCATAAATAGTAGTCGTTAATGAAGCTATTTTATAGTCCAATTTAAGTCATATTTTTGTTTTTTATTTTTATTATCGGCTCATTCTTTGAAATTATATCGGTCGAACTAAACAAGTAAATAAGAATTATTTTATTTCTAAATGTAAATGTATAATTTATTTATTTAACATCATATTAAATATCATATTTATTAAATACATTACTTTTTTAAAATTAAACTTTGCAGTAAAATAAATAAAATAAAATATTTTAAGGATCGTAATTTAATATTCTGTTTATTCTTGATTTTTGAAATTTTAATTTGTATTCTCTTTGTGTACTGTTAGTAACTTAGCCTAGTTTTAAATTCTTCATACGCAGTTTTTATGTTGCTGTTAGGAATTTTAAAGTGACCTTAATTAAAATTTCCAATCAGAGAAACATAAACGTGACAAACGGTAACGACGGATCAATAACATCTTAATTATTTAAATTAAAAGATTTAAGTATAAATTTCCTTGTAATGGGAGGAGTAAACATTATAATTTTTTGTAAAGTTTACTTCTGACGTACTTATCCATCGATGTATAAATAAACCCCGCGCGTAAACGGCAAACGTCGTAGAAGATCTGTAAACCTGTGCAGAAAACATGATTTTATTTTGGTTTCTGGCCTTAACTTCAATCTTTTCTTCCATTGTTTGTTCAGAAAATTGGAGGGAAGAAAACATTTATCCTCCCAATACGGTCGACATTTTCAGTGCTCGATATTGTGGTAATATATTTGTAAAGATTATCATAAATTTCCGTTTGAGATTAAATATGCCCGGATAATAGACTGATCACATTATAATTTTTCATTATATATAGCTTTGAAAGATCGTTCCGAGATGATCTCTTGCGGGTTAGTCAATGGAATGGAACTCGTAAGTGCTTTATTAATGTATTATATTTATCCTTGCTATTGCTAATAATAATAATCTATTCATTTACTTGTTCAGGTTAGAGAATTCTACAGAAATTGCGTTCAGCAAGTAAAGTTTTTCCAGAGTTTAGACGAAGTCGATAATTACGTTTGCAATTTGAAATACGACCAGAAAGTAAGTTGCGCGTATTATTAATATGATTAAAATAATTGGTTTTGTGATAAGTTACTAACCGGATTATTATTTCAGGAATATGAAAAATACATAAAATGCTTCCGCGGAGCCATGTTTGCTTTGAACCGATACCAACCCACAACCTTCGATAAAATATTAGTAAGTATACTGTAAAATATGGTCTCTCGCACTATAATTAATTCGTTTTTCGTAATAAAAGTTTTAAAAAGTATATAAGGCTTATATTGTAAGTTCCGGTATAGCGACTTTGTACAATATCCTCATAGTATTACGTACAGCCTACAATATATTTTCTACGTATAAGTTTGCCTTATAAAATTAAATAGCATCTATTTCTATCATTACCTATATCTAATTACCATTATCTATTTATTAAATTAAACAGATATTTTATACAAGAATATTATGTACAAAACTTTCATTCACAATATGTAGCAATATAACAGTTTTAAATATTATAAAAGATGGCCTGTTAATTGGGCTGAAAACGTTTGTTTTTCAACCCAATTAACAGCAGAAGATTTATTTTTTGTTACAAATGTCTAACAAACGATAAGAATATAAGTGAAACCAAAGAAATAAATATAGTTAACGCGTCCCAGCCCGTTAACGAAAATAGATATTTATATCTTAATTAATTAATGCACTTTACGTCTTTTGTTCTTTTAGAAATGCTTTTCGAAAGTAGAAGGAAAGGAAGAATGGAAAGATAAACGTCACACTTACGCCAAGGAAGTCATTTACGGAATATACTAGAAGATAATTAATGAAATTATCGTCGTCTAAAAGTTCATTTTACTATTGCCTTGTATTATCGTTTAATCTAAAACATCAGTGTATCTTGCGAGTATTAAAGATGTTACATTTTACACCTCTGTAATTATTTGAAAAAAGATCCCTCCTTCTGCGGTCGGCGAAGACGGTAAGAAATCCGTCCAAATTAAACGATGGTAAATAAAATGAAGTCGACTCGATTAGATAATTTAGACTGGATAATTTAGAACCACCTCCGGCAGACCTTCCCGACATTCTTCGCTTTGTTAACGGGATTCCTCGTCTACCGCCGGTCCCGGGACAGCCGGATCGACGGGGCTCGGCGCCTGTATGTACGTTTACCGCACGACTTTTAATCGCGGATTAATACATATAAAAATATTTTCCGGTTACGATTTATAATAAAACCGGTGTTTTTATAAATCGTAACCGGAAAATATTTTTATAGATAATGGTAATTAGATATAGGTAATGATAGAAATAGATGCTATTTAATTTTATAAGGCAAACTTATACGTAGAAAATATATTGTAGGCTGTACGTAATACTATGAGGATATTGTACAAAGTCGCTATACCGGAACTTACAATATAAGCCTTATATACTTTTTAAAACTTTTATTACGAAAAACGAATTAATTATAGTGCGAGAGACCATATTTTACAGTATACTTACTAATATTTTATCGAAGGTTGTGGGTTGGTATCGGTTCAAAGCAAACATGGCTCCGCGGAAGCATTTTATGTATTTTTCATATTCCTGAAATAATAATCCGGTTAGTAACATATCACAAAACCAATTATTTTAATCATATTAATAATACGCGCAACTTACTTTCTGGTCGTATTTCAAATTGCAAACGTAATTATCGACTTCGTCTAAACTCTGGAAAAACTTTACTTGCTGAACGCAATTTCTGTAGAATTCTCTAACCTGAACAAGTAAATGAATAGATTATTATTATTAGCAATAGCAAGGATAAATATAATACATTAATAAAGCACTTACGAGTTCCATTCCATTGACTAACCCGCAAGAGATCATCTCGGAACGATCTTTCAAAGCTATATATAATGAAAAATTATAATGTGATCAGTCTATTATCCGGGCATATTTAATCTCAAACGGAAATTTATGATAATCTTTACAAATATATTACCACAATATCGAGCACTGAAAATGTCGACCGTATTGGGAGGATAAATGTTTTCTTCCCTCCAATTTTCTGAACAAACAATGGAAGAAAAGATTGAAGTTAAGGCCAGAAACCAAAATAAAATCATGTTTTCTGCACAGGTTTACAGATCTTCTACGACGTTTGCCGTTTACGCGCGGGGTTTATTTATACATCGATGGATAAGTACGTCAGAAGTAAACTTTACAAAAAATTATAATGTTTACTCCTCCCATTACAAGGAAATTTATACTTAAATCTTTTAATTTAAATAATTAAGATGTTATTGATCCGTCGTTACCGTTTGTCACGTTTATGTTTCTCTGATTGGAAATTTTAATTAAGGTCACTTTAAAATTCCTAACAGCAACATAAAAACTGCGTATGAAGAATTTAAAACTAGGCTAAGTTACTAACAGTACACAAAGAGAATACAAATTAAAATTTCAAAAATCAAGAATAAACAGAATATTAAATTACGATCCTTAAAATATTTTATTTTATTTATTTTACTGCAAAGTTTAATTTTAAAAAAGTAATGTATTTAATAAATATGATATTTAATATGATGTTAAATAAATAAATTATACATTTACATTTAGAAATAAAATAATTCTTATNGTATATGGAAAAATAAAAATCAAGTTTAAGTCATTTTATTCGACTTTACGTCTGTCCGCCACAAATATTGAAGTCGTAATATCACTAGATAAACGTTTAAAGCACATAAAATCATATTAAAATATATACAAGTATGTACTGTATTTACAGTACACGCATTCGTAAATTTAGATTACTTTTTTTGTACTATATTAAAAACTAAAATTTATTTGTTTGTAAGCTTAAAATAGATTTTTATTAACCATATATTATTTAAAATGCTTTCCTAGTGATAAGTAGATTCGGAGACAGGTAAATTCGACTTACGTCGTTTTTCGACTTACGTCGTTTTCCTGGAACCAATTACCGACGTAAGGCGAGGTATACCTGTACTTCCATTGTCGTCTTCATTATTCTCGTTATAACTTTTTCATACTAAACGGAAAATGAAAGTTATTCCTATAGATATTCTAGTAAATTATATCGTAGGTATATTCTAGAATATAATCTACTTAGTTCGAGCCCTCTAATCGGAAATGCTAAGCACCCTCTTTGACGGGTCACTCTGGTATCGTATTACCCATCAATCGGCATTAAACAGATTTTATCGCATTTAATTTTTATTACGACAATTCGTATGAGATGAAAATTTGCTCATTGGGGAATATTATTTGTACAAGTAGATAAGTGTTATATTCTGCAAGTTCAACAAATAGATTTTGTATAAAAGATAATTACCTATAATTGATAGCGAGGTTGCGGCCGAAGTAATAACGGTATTTAAATATGAACAATATATAATATACAGGGAGGAGATAAAATGAATAGTTGGCATCCAACTAGGTACAGTACAGTACGTTTTAAAGCATACTTACATCTGCTTTAAGAAAAGTCGAAGGATCGTCTTGGTTCAAAGCCATCAAAGCACCGCGGATGCATTTCATATACTTCTCGTGACCCTGGAAGTAAAATCATCGTTAACACGTCGTAGACAAATATATAATTATACTAAAAATAAATATAAATTACCGGATAGTTTTTTGCATTGCATATGAACTCGTGCATTTCTTCTATCGTCGGGAAAAATTTTACTTGTTGGGCGCAATTTTTGTTAAAATCGTTAATCTGATTATAAATTATCTTTATTATTAAGCATGTAATGTAAATCGAAACAAATTAATAATACTCACAAGTTCGAATCGATTTTCTATCGCACAATAACGAGCTCGAGATCGATCTTTCAGAGCTGCGTAAAATCAAAAGCTGAAGATAAATGCTTTTATTATTGAGATACGTCGAATTATGAATCGATAGAGTTATTACAATTAGTCATGGTAACCGTAATCAAATGCCAGAAGTACGGTTTGATTGCATTAAGATCTTACCACAGTATCGGTGAAGGATAAAATCCACCACATTCGGAGGGAAATCTCGTTTCTCATTCCAAATTTGTGAAGAAACAACCGAAGACGTCAAAACGAGAAGTGAGACCACGATCTGATTTTCTCCCATTAGTTTATCTTTCTTCTACTTCTATCGCATCTGTTGTCGTGGCATTTATATATAGCCTATATATTCATCGAAAAATAAATTAATATGCTAGAAGTAAACTCCCGTAAGAAAAGCTAGTTTTATTGCTTGTACGAGGAAATTTACATTAAAAGTATTATGACTTATGATTATAAGAAAACATATTATCAAGACACTATAAATCATTAAAGCTTATTTTTAAAACGAATTTAATTTGTAGTTTATGTCATTGTCGAAAATTTAGAGGTTAATCTAAAAGTCGTAAGACAGTCGAGGCCGGATGAAGATTTTTCGGGACACAGAGAAAAAATATTAGTCAGGCACCGAGATATTTGCAAAAATAATTTTTTAATCAAATTTTTTTATAAATTTGAATGTGCGGGCCTGGGTCCGACGTCCGAAAAATCAACATCTCAGCTGGCCCGGAAGACGAGGCAGATAAACAATAGAAAATTAACATTACATAAAAATAAGTAAAAATAAAAAGTTACAGATAGGCTAAATAGATTAATATGATACAATATTCCGGAAATTCTTTAATTCGAAGTTCTTTTTTCTATATATTTCAGAGCCGAGTGAAATAATAGTGAAACAAAATAATTAAATAAATATTAAACAAATTAATCATTAAAAATTAAATTTAATATATTTTAGAAATAAACGCTTTAACATTAATATCGCGAAGAGTTTAGTTTAAATTAAGCTTCAAAGGGATAAACAAAATTGTGCACCATACACACTAACTTCCATACGTACAATAAAAATCTTCGAGTTTTTTGAATTTCTCGGTGTTTCAAGGTCCCGAGTCCAAAAATCGTCGAAATCAGGAACTGTTTCAAACTACTTCAAGAATATTAAAAATGTAAATCGCAGGAATTTGTGAAAAGTACCATAAACATTAGGAACTATTGTTTAATGTTGTAAATATGTTTAATGGGACGAGGCTGAAAACATCAGTGCGATTTGCGTGCCTTCCCGGAAGAATTTCTACAGAATAGTACTCCCTACAAATTGTGTAGCTTCCATTGACAGCCAACAATTTTGAATTTTTTTTAATAAAATATATAATGCATATTGAATACATAAAATGTTGCTCCACAGTTTTCTATATCACTTTGTTCCTAATACGTTAAACACAAACCCAACAAATTTAGCATCGGAATGAAGACGAAACTCTTGTGTACTTAACTGACATTTCATTTACAAAAGAATTAAATTCTAATTATTAATGTTTTAACATCAGCAATATATTTTGCAGATTTCTGTTTCTAACAACTACAGTTTGTTTTAATATCATTTCAAACAATATTCAAGTAAGTGAAATTGATATAATTACGACCGAAATTTTTGTAAATTATCGGTAAATCTATATGTTAAAATGGTATCCTGCCAACTTCGTTTTTATTAAGTACATTGGCCTAGGAAACCTTTCAATGAGATCAAATAATGCATAAAGATGTTATCTGACCTAATGTCCTACGTGTTTCGTTTGATATTTTTTATCAAAACGTATTAATTATCATATAAAAATATAACAACCGGACCGTCGAGGAGATTAAAAAGTCGGCCACCGCTAACGGGGTCCCGAAATGGCCTCTGTGCTAGCCACTTGTAAAAATTTTTCCAGAGTGGTAAAACCCGAATATGTCAGAGACGAACTCGGCGGTCTCGCTGTCTT